AGGAATCCAAAAATTCCGGATGCTTTTATGTTTCCGGACATTAAAGATCAGGGGGAGATCCAAGAAAATGAATATATAATGAAACTACCTCCACCTCAGGTACTCAGAAGAGGCAGTTTAGTTTTTGAATAAAAATTATTGAAAAAATATTTGATTTAATTCTAGTTTTTTTTAAGTGATGTGATTAAAATTTGTGATAATCTAACCTCAACCTGGGTCGAGATTTGTACAAGTATATATCGTAGAGAATACTAAAGTAGGAAACTGTGCAAAATTCTAGGTGCCCATGAACACTTTCAAAGGGGAAAATTACCTCTGAAAATTTATCAGATGGGTTATCCACTCCTTTGTTGTGCAAAAAAAATTCTTACGTGTTAAATTTTGCATTTTAAAAGTTTTTACTTCCCGAGCGTAAGCAAAGGAAGTATTGTAATCGAGTCCGTCGGCCGACTCTCTACTTTTACGTTTTCTCGATCTTTCATGACCCCTAGAAGACGAAGAAATAGGTCTCCCATTTCCGTCTGTCTGTCCGTCTGTCCGTCTGTCCGTCTGTCCGTCCGTCTGTCCATCCGTCTGTCCGTCCGTCTGTCCGTCTGCCGTCCCGGATTTTTATTAGACAGATAATCTCAGAAAGTACTCGACCGATTGTTGTGAAATTTTTTACTTATATTAAGAATATCATGTAGATGGTAAAACGCTAACCAAAATTTGTCTAATCATCCCCACCACTAATGCGATGACGTCACTTCAAAATTGTACATAGTAAATGGGTTTTCAATTGTATAAAATAACATAGTCCTACACATGTAGTTTACAACTCTGAATCGACTTTTCACCCGAAACGTCCAGATTTTTGGAAAAAAAATCAAAATTATAAAACAACATTTTGAAATTTAATTTTTAATCTGCTAACCAGAATGCTTTGAAATGTTGCAGATGTTTTAAGGCTATAAAGAGCATCATAAATATTTAGTCAAAAAATATTTGCTTATCCCCTCCAAAAACTTGATGACGTCAGCTCAAAAGTTTGTGGAATAAATCATATCTAAAATGTACAAAATATGATGAGTCTGTACTTGTGATCTATCACTCCATTCATATTTTTTGGATTTGCATATACAGGGTGACTCAAAAAAATTAATGAATGCGTAAATATATTTTATTGATTTAATCAGGAACTACAAAACCGAATGCTCTAAAATCTTGCAGATGTTTTAAGGTCATAAAGAGCATAATAAATGTTTAGTCAAAATATATTTGCTTATCCCCTCCAAAAACTTGATGACGTCAGCTCGAAAGTTTGCCGAATAAATCATATCTAAAATGTACAAAATATGATGAGCCTGTACTTGTCATTTATCACTCCATTCATATTTTTTGGATTTGCATATACAGAGTGACTCAAAAAAATTAATGAATGCGTAAATATATTTTATTGATTTAATCAGGAACTACAAAACGGAATGCTCTGACATCTTGCAGATGCTTTAAGGTTATAAAGAGCATAATAAATGTTTAGTCAAAATATATTTGCTTATCCCCTCCAAAAACTTGATGACGTCAGCTCGAAAATTTGCCGAATAAATCATATCTAAAATGTACAAAATCAGTCTGTACTTGTGATCTATCACTCCATTCATATTTTTTGGATTTGCATATACAGGGTGATTCAAGAAAATAAATGAAAGCGTAAATTTATTTTACTGATTTACTCAGGAACTACAAAACCGAATGCTTCGAAATCTTGAAGATATTTTAAAATTATCATAAGCATGGTAAATTTTTGATCAAAACGTATTTGGTCGTCCCCCCTAAAAAATTTATGATGTCACCACAAAATTTTGCTGAATAAATCCTATCTAAAATGTACAAAATATGGTGAGTCTCTTCTTGTGATTTATCATTCCATTCAAATTTTTTCGATTTGCATATACAGGGTGACTCAAAAAAATTAATGAATGCGTAAATTTATTTTATTGATTTAATCAGGAACTACAAAACCGAATGCTTTGAAATCATGCAGATGTTGTAAGGTTATAAAGAGCATAATAAATTTTTAGTCAAAATATATTTGGTCATCTTCTACAAAAAACTGATGACGTCAGCTCAAAAGTTTGCCGAATAAATCGTATCTAAAATGTACAAAATATGATGAGTCTGTACTTGTGATTTATCATTCCATTCATATTTTTGGATTTGCATATGCAGGGTGACTCAAAAAAATTAATGAAGGCGTGAATTTATTTTATCGATTTAATCAGGAATTACAAAACCGAATGCTTTGAAATCTTGGGAATATTTTAAAGTTATTATAAGCATGGTAAACTTTTGTTCAAAATGTATTTGTTCATCCCTCCTAAAAAAATTGATGACGTCACCCCTAAATTTTGCTGAATAAATCCTATCTAAAATGCAAAAAATATGATGAGTTTGTACTTGTGATTTATCATTCCATTCATATTTTTTAGATTTTCTTAAGAGGTGGTTCAAAAAAATTAATGAAGTCAATTTATTTTATTGATTAAATTAAAGGCAACACTTATTATTAGTATTACACCCCAACCAACCCAATTTAGTAGACACAAAATTTGTTAAAGGAAAAACTCGGTTGAAACATAAGGGTAGCACGCTTATTTACATCGACTTTAACATTACAGACTTGCATTTGTTTTATGCGGTCACTTGGTTCCGCGAATGCGAAATAGACATGTTTATAATCAACCAATTGTGAATTTCACCGTCAAGAATTAAAATAAAACGCAATGTTTTATATAATAAGCGGAAGTCGAAGCAATAAAACCGATGGTCGTTTTGTTTACAGTTTCTCTGTTTGACTCTCACGTATGCTGTTACGCTTGTCATCTTAAATTAAGAATGTTTATACATAAACGATTTTCAGTTGCCCCTCATATTACTAGACAGCGGAGTTCTGTCGGGTTACGTCACGATTATAGGGGGGGACGTGCTGGATTCCATAAATATAATTAACGATTTATTAATCAAACGGCTAAGTAAATGAGAACGGGAATTAACAGCAGAGTGCAACGAAACAACGTTATTCTAATCTCAAATAAACGAAGTGCAGTCCGCAACGGCAATGAATTCGCATCCCGTGCGAGCCGTACCGAGTTTGGCCTTGCCTAGCCCGACAGAAATCCGCTCTCTAGATATTACACACCGGCGCCGTATACGTGAGTAAATTGTTTCGTTATTTTATTGATTATAAGAAATCAATATTCAAAACGACCCAATTCATTTTCCCGAAAATTTGGGAACACAATAATTTTATTCTTAGTATTACACTACATCTATCCCAACTGATATACGTGTCCTTGCAAAAATGTTGATGACGTCATCACATTTTTTTTTTAAATTCCCACTACAAAAATGTAATGAGAAAAAAAAACATAATAGGCATGCAGTCGTCAAGTTTCCGACAGCGAGGGAAGTACTGTCTAAACTCTTTAGACCAATTGTTTTCTAATGTGCTTCATTTGAAAGTTGTGAACAAAAAATTAAAAGTGTTATCATCTATATTTATGGGTAGCTAGAATTTAGCACAGTTTTTTACTTCAACATCATCTACAATATTTACACAAATCTCGACCCAGGTTATCGGGTAAGTATTTTTTAAGAAGTTGTTTTATTTTGTGATATTTTGTTATGATCCAACAGAAATGCTTTACTTTTATGTTTAGAGTTACCGTTTTTTTAACATTTAATAAAATAAATGAAACTATGTACTTGTTTTTTCTGTTTATGCTACCATAATAAATGAATAAAGCCAATTTTTAAAAAGTAATGCCTTAAGTTATTATTATAAGTTTGATTTAGTATGTCAAACTTTAACATGATCTTGTATGCACAACACAGAGATGAACCTAATAGAATGATTTTGGACTATTTGGTATTCATTAATTACCTTTGTGAACGTATGAGCCAGTCGTTGTTGCCTTATGAGTATGAGTCACTGATAAGTAAAAACTGCTGACGTAACTAAAAATATCCTTGGCCTTATGTACTTTTAATTTCGTAAAGTCAAAAGCAAAATTTCATAATATAATTTATTAAAAAATTAATAATAATACATATATAATATAATTTATTAAATCTTTGAGTGATTTAAACAAACTAATTTGTACACACCAGACATTTTTAATTTCAAAATTAAAATAGACCATAAGGTTTTCTGACTGAATGTGCAAAAAATCTAGAATATTGCATATGTCCACTTTTAGAACAAACATTTGACCTAAGAAAGTGTAAAATTCGAACGTATACTTACTCTATTGATTTAGACATCTAAAACCTCAATTTCAGAGTAGCGTTCATTTTGTAAGTAAAATCAGTTTTTTTTTTTCTTAAACATTTCAGTTTATTAACGATATTTACTATGCACTAGACGCCCAGATACCTTTATATGTTAATGATATGAAGATATTTTAAAAATAACATGTTAAGACGACCCTCGTGGATTGGCGCCTTCTACGGGGGCGGTTGCTTGAGCACCAGCCTCCTCTCCGGAGAAGAAGCATCTGGGGTACTGCTGGAGAAACGGATCTCCAATGGGTTTCCTGAACAACCGGCCCACAAATACTACTCCGGTTAGATTTAAAAACTAACTCACTAATAAAAATAACAACTTTCGGGGACAATACTCCACGAGGAGTGGCGCGTGCCTGTACAAAAAAAAGAACGGTGACGGTTATGCTGGTACGATGTTGTCTAGGTGGCGACGAAAGATAGTGTGTAGAGCCCTTTGGGGTACTTACCCACGATCTCTCGGGGAGACGGTATTTAGGGCTAGATCGCTGTCTCATCCGCAGATTGCTCCTACACATGTCCAAAGACTGAGTTACCTCTTCTTCCAACGTAGGCCCATCGCAGTGGTCACGAAAATACCCTCCCCCCCTCCACACCCTGGTTCTCGCAGCTTGTAACCCGCCAAAAATTTGCATCGTTATACTATCCCCTTTCGTCGAGAAAAAAAAAACAAGAGAAACTTTTTTTTATTTATTCAACACTCAAAACAACTTTCAAACGAAATTCAACAAAACTTCCAAAATGTCCACCCGGAGCCCCAAGATCCGAGCGAACTAAAAGAAATTTAAAATAACAACAGAACTCTAACCGCTAATTAATATAATAAAACTGGAAAAACAAAAAATTTACAGCTCTCGGTCGTGTCCCCCCGAGCAAGCGGCCTTTTATTTCCTTGGCTTCCATCCCGGGGATGTAGAGGCCCACTGCAAGTTCACGGCCAGGTTGGGCCCCGTCCTCCCGCTGGAGGCGGCGTGTGTGCGCGGGACGGTGATGTTCGTCGGGTTCGGAGTCGGCTCCTTGACCGGGAGCAGCGGGGGTGCTTATTGGATAGATGCCGCTCCGGCATACGACCGGGGCACACCGCTGACGAACTTCCTACTAGCTCGCACAGTGTGCAGGACGGCAGGTACCGTGGAGGGGAATCGGGAGGTGGGACTCTTCTTTCCGTCTGCACCCCCCTGGAGACGCCGACGTCCATGGGTGGTCCCACTTGAATCCCCTGGTCCCGGACCTGCCGGCGCGCGGGGTTGAGGGTCTCTTGCTCCTCTCGCAGAAGCTTGGCCACAAGGGCCCGCACGGTGGCGTTCTCCATCTGGAAGTAGACACAAGTTGGTGACGCGGCGGTGGAGATAAGACGGCAGAGCTCTGAACAGTGATACCAAAGTAATACCCTCCGAGGTACATCGAGTATCGGTGACCGTGGCGTTGGCATGCAAGAAAAAAATCCCAGTATATCATAGCGGTAGCGGTGCTTATCGGTTCTTATCTGGGTACGGCTTATCGCACGCGCTTGTACAAAAGAAAAGGAGTGGTGGCGGTTATGCCGGTATATTCTTTAGGTGACGGCGAACTGTAGCGTGCAGAGCGCACCGGGGGTATATACTTACGATACAATTTCTGGGGGCGGCGGTATCTAGGACTGGATCGGTAGCTTTCGAATTCGCTTGCTTCTCTTCTCTCCAATGTCCTTCCACAGACTGCTCCACACACTTAAAGACTCAATAACCACTTCCAAAAATTTGAAAATACCCCCCTCTCCTCCCCGGTACCCCCGACTTGGTCCTGCCCAATTGCGATTTAGGAAATTATAGAATTTTAGTATTTTCAGCACACTTGACTTTTGCTGATACACATTTTTTCAGTAATCTGTTACATGTTTTCACAACGTAACGTAATGCTTGATTTATAATCAGCAAATTTGTTCCCTCTGGGACTACTCGTTCTCAAAATAGTGTAAGTCACGTCAGGTTTACTACGTTATAATACATATTAAACTAGTTACGTAGTTTCATCCTTATTTTTATGAGAGTATGTTTCAGAAGGGTAAGTTTAACAGCAGAAATTAAATTTCCCTCACAACTTGCAAGTCGTATTCGAAAAGTCTGCGTAAATCTATTATATTTTACAAATTTATTTTACGATAGTTGGCAATAATTTATCATAACCTTTCATAGAAATTTTTGTCACATTACAAAAATAAGTATTTTAAAACATTTCCAATAAATAAAAAAATGTTGTTTACGTTGCCACAGCGAAAATGCTTACCGTTTTACGTTTCTTCACAAAGCATGTGTTCTGCAATTAATTGGATTTTCCTAAGGTGTATTTGTATTATTATTATTATTGTATTTTAACACTGATTTTTTATAAAAATCTATTTATCTATCATATAAAATCGTTGTAAGGATAATACTAATTTCAATACATTTATATCAACTATCAAGTAACAATATCAAGATGAATTTTGAAGGAATTAAATGAATCATCAAATAATATTAATTACTATTATTGGAGATGCCGGGAGTGGAACCTGGGTTTTTGCACTTACAAAGACATCATACCGTAGAACAAAAATATACTAAAATCATATAAAAAAATAATGTTAGTCGGTGATGTGAAATTATTGATGAGTTATTTTTAAAATAACCCTTATGCGTACGTTACAGTAAAAAACAAAATATTGAGACGACGTTCTTAAGTTTTCAATGGAATGAACAACTTTTAACTTTTACTTACCGTCCTCACATTTACATGATTTTGTAAAACCACTCCTAGAATTTCATAGTATTAAGTCCGATAGTTTCGAAATTTGTGTATGAAATAAATATCACTAACATCAGGGTATCCATCTACGTATCCTTTGCATTGCCTGTACACAATAAAATGGTTTTAAACAATGAGTGGATCCTGGATCTAAATTCTTTATGTTACAGATAACAAGATTCAATTTTTCATAAAAATTCTCATTAGTCTTAAATGTTAGGGGAAAGTCCCCCTTATTGGACCAGTGCCTGAATTGAACCACCCTATTTTTTTTAAATCTAGAATAGTTGCCGACATCTAGTGCATATTATTCGAAAGTATTTGGCGCCAAAGCAGTGTTGTGCAAAATTCCATTCTGTAGCGGTAAGTGTCTGCTTGTTAAATTGAAAGAAATTTTGCTACCATTGTGATACAACTTTTCGCATGTTTTTGTAAGGATATATAGCCCAAATTATTTCGTAAATACAGTGCACAAAGACTACATTGGTCAAAGCGTAATAAAATTAAGAACCTAACCTAGAAATAAATATGTTTTATTTCGTTATAGCGTTTTAACACAAGAAAATAGTAAATTTTGTACCAGCGCGTAAATTGGACCACCTTAGATTCTCCTTATTTGGACCGGTCTAATTGAAGGAACTCCCGATTTGACCAATTACGTCACAGTATCTAGGCGCGTAGTTTTAGAACTTCGTATTACAATGCCCAATAATAAATTTTCTTGTTATAATCTATTAACTATGATTTTATACTAGATGGATGCGGAAAAACAAGCAAAAAAGAAGTATTATAAATGGAGCGAAGAGGACATGGATAAACACTAACTGCTTTTCGTAAAAATCAACTAGGGTTGAACGAATGTTGTCGGCAATTTAATGTGCCAAAAGCCACATTTAAAAGACGTTTGTCAGATAGTAACAAACACATTATGGGCAGTACGAAACGCGCCAGGGTGATTACAACCTTGCCTGCCGAATTAGAAGCTGATTTAATGGAACACGTCCTTAGGTTACATGTAGTTCTAAAACGTTTATTTTTGTTATTATTTTTTTAAATTTAATATTGTTTTTTTTCACATTTTAAATAAAATTATGTTCATTTCATGCATTTTTACCAAGAAGGTCCAATTTAAGAACCGCTGGTCCAATTCAAGAATATAGTGGTCCAATTTAGGAACCCAGTCTCCTATTTTGGACCACTTGCAGATCTTCAAAAATTATTTTTTTTAACCAATTTGGATGTTTCAAAAAATTCTAAAAAAATTACCAAACATTGAAAACATGTCAAAGTTAATGGCTCAACACTAGATAAGTTAATATCGTATTACATTTTGGTTTTAATTGAAAAAATGTCCCACTAGGTCCGAATGAGGGGACTTTCCCCTATACCCTCATTTTTCAGATCGCAGTAACTTCTAAATTACTGTTAAATTCGTAAAATTGTGTTTATTAAATAGATTTCCCACTACGTTATTTAAAAAACTGCAAAACATCAGGAAAATTACCACACCTGTAAAATATAATTATCAACAATAATAGAATTTTGATAATTACATTGCAAATTTGAAAAATGTACAGTGTACAGTTGCGGCCCCCCAAAAGTGCACGATTTTTCGTTGTCATGGAATTTTTTTAATTTTTAAATTAATGTAAGTCTGGCTATTACCAGTGGTGTAGCATTTTTGAATAAACAAAATGTCAAATTTGACAAACTTTGTTATTCGAACGCCAATGATTTGAACAGACATTACAATAGAGAAAATTATCATGTACTTTTAGAAGGCCGCAATTGTACAGTTTGTACTTTGCGAAGATAATATTCAGGACAATCAAAAATTCACATTTCAGTAAGTACACACCAAGTAGACGCCATTATCAAACTGAAAAATTAAACAAATTTTGGTAGTGTTTTATGTGACCATTTTAAAAGTAAAACAAAATTTAGAAATAATACATTCATGTTTTGGATAATATCAAGATTTGTCAAATAACGAAAATAAACAAAATGGAAATAAAGTAGGAGGAGTACAAACTAACGACAGACAGAAAAAAAATCCATTGTTGTATTGTTCAAACTGGGATACACCAAGAAAACATTAAAATAGATAGACCCAAAAATAACCGTACAATTTTTTCCCTTACAGCACGAAATAAAAAAATAAAACTGTAAGAAGCATTATTTTAGAGTAAAGATTAACCTATTAACCGCAAAAGTTTAACATTAAAGATCGATGGAACTTAGCGTAAGAGGTCATTGATTTTATACCGAAAGCAGTCTGATCGTGCTAACGTAGGCTATTAGCACACGAGTAGGTATCATCCGTTGCCTAAAGCCACATTTGGTTGTTTAAATCATAGATAAATTAAGTTACCTAGATACCCGACTACCTAACCCTGCGCTGCAGAGAGAAGTGAAGCTTCAAGGTCGAGTGGCCGCCATTTGTCAGAAAGGCAAAACATTGCTGTCAATGTATGATCGCTTGGTAATATATTAGGAAAATAGTGCTAAATACAGGGTGTTATTGAAATACATGGAAACAAAAAATCTGGTGAATGTAGGGAACCTAAGAAGTCAAATGAACGTTTGTTGTTTTAGTAAAATTTTGAAAGGAAAATTTAACCCCTATCCAAACATTCATTCCTCCACTGATAAATAATGGTTTCACGAAAAAATGTGAAACCTAGTAACTGAAAACTGCCGAGGTGTAACTACTGTTGCTATTAATTTATTGCTAGCAACAAATAAACAATGACAATAATTAATGAACTGACAATTAAAACTTCAAAATCATAATTTAATCGACCATAAAATGAAACAAAACGTAACGTATGCAACTAGAGCAAGTTTTCAAAATGTCCACCACCATTTCGTATACACGCTTCCGCACGTTTAATCAATGATTGTTGCCTTGTTCATGTAGAGTTCTCCACACCACAAAAGGTGAAACTCCCACTCGGTAAGACAATCGTCTAATGCTTATACCTGGATCGTTTTCAACGACATTCAAAATTTCTTCTTCGGCATCAAGTGTCCGTTCTGTCCTTTCACGACCACGATCACTAAAACGAGGTTGAAATTTCTCATTTTCTCGTAGACGCTCAACAACGTTAGCAAATGTTTTATGATTTGGCAATCTTCGTTCGGGAAATGCTTCTTGGTATAAACGTCGAGCTTCCAAGGAGTTTCTTAAGGCTTGTCCATACATCAGAACCATGTCAGTCATTTCAGAATTAGAAAAATTCATTTTGTTCTTCCAAAAAATTGCAAAAACGTCAAAAAATGATGGGCTAATGAATGTATTGTCATGTTAACAAGCAACAATTTTACCTACTTTAAATTACTATAGTGATCAAATTTACCTTTAACATTTTTGGAATCAGTAGCGCACACGCAAATTTTAACAGATTTTCAATCAATTTTATCTCGAAAACTAAAGGATTTTTATTAGATCAATATTTGATGCATAAATTCTCTACATCATGACCAATTACTGTAGCAAGGTTTTGCTTTATCCAGTGGAATTGATTGTTTGGAAATTATAGGTGAATAAAACTGAACGAAACGATTGAAATGTGTATTGCAACTTGGTGGTACATCAACTGAACTTACAGTGTCAAGTGCGCACATGCGCAAGCTTATGTCGGTAATACAGTTAGCAAAAGGGTAGTTTTCTATAATATCAACACTCCCACTAGAAAACTACAACTATCAACAACAAAAATTTTTAAATTTAAATAAAGTAAAATTAACGCTTCTTGAGTCCCATTTCCTTCAGGTGCTTTTCATGCAGTTCCAGAGGTAATGCTTTGGTCATCACATCAGCTGTCATTTCCTTCGAAGCAATGTGTTGAACTTGTATGGCCTTTTCTTGAATTTGCTCACGAAGGAAATGATGTCTCACATCTATGTGCTTTGTCCTTGCTCTGTATCCTCCCACTCGACTCAGATCCACTGCGCTTTTATTGTCACATTTCAGAATAGGTCCTTCGTCATCGACTTCAGGCATTAATTCATTTAGAAGGCCCTGTAACCAAATAGCTTCTTGCGCCGCTGCACTTAGAGCCATGTATTCTGCTTCAGTTGTGGATAAAGCAATGGTGGGTTGTTTCTTGCTATTCCATGATACAGGGGCCCCTTGGAATGTAAAGACATATCCTGTGGTTGACCGTCTCTCATCTTCATCACCTGCCCAGTCTGCGTCACAAAAACCTGCAAGTTTTCCATTCTCTGTCCTTGTAAAACAGAGTCTGAAGTCCTTTGTGCCCTGGATGTATCGAAG